GTGAGCTGATGCATTGTCGCGCTAAATGAGGATCCCTTTCATCAACTTTCCTCTGGCGCTTCTTCGTGGATTCGCGCTGTCGCCACCGCGATGAAATATGGTACCGGTTCCCCAAGTGGCACAAATGTCGAGTGGGCCATAGGCGGTCCAGGCGCTACAATGGCGGATTCCTGGCGGAGACGGAAATGTGGAATCCCGGAATACCGAATCAGTCAGCGGGCCACCTCTCAAGGATATTGCATCTGATGAATGCGTCGGTCCCCTGGCGGCCCGGAAGTGGCCGGCAGGTGTCGGCAAGTGGAACACGTAACACGTGGGCCGCTACCTAGCGCTGGTAGTAGGCTACCAGCTCACTTCCCATAATGTAGCAGGCACTCCCCCCCCCCCACCCCTAATAGCATGATACATGGCGTGATCCTAATGCAGTACCATGAGTCCCGACTAAATTAGTACCCATGTTCCCCAGCAGTCTCCCAATGCAATTTAGGGCCTTTCTGATTTAGCAAAAGTGTTTCTTTCACTTTTCCTCTTTTTTCCTGTCTGATCTGATAGGAAAATATAGAATTGTGTTGTCCTGATCGCAATGCAAGATTCAGGAATATATAAAATGTCGAGGTTAAGTTTGGAAATATAAAAGGCGAATGTCAAAGTTTTCTCTATGAATCAATCTGTACATCTTTTGGCTCAATACCTGAGAGCTTCCGTTCACTCCCTTAGCACCTCCTTTTAGTCGCGAAAGAGGAGAGATATGGGCCATGTAAAGCACGTATCTCAGTTGTTTGTTCTTAGTACATTAGAGCTCCATGGTTTTAGAATCGAATTAGGTATGCATAGAGGAACAAGCTCTCTTCTCGGCTGGTGGTCTACGTGCTACTTGCGAATGCGTTGGCCTGCTAGCGGTCCGGGAGGTGGCGGGTCGGTGGAGGCAAGTGGGACGTGCAGCAGACGGCCCGCAACATAGATGAGGTGGTGGGCCGTAAGTTCTCTTCCCACGACGTAGCTGTTGATTCACGACCTACGTGCTACTTGGGTCGTAATCGTACTGCTAAGGGGCATACAATCGATGCGAAAGACTCTCAAAGTGTTTAGGAAAATCGTCGTTATGACTGCTACATATTGCCGGCCGGGGCCCGAGTTCGAAAGTTCCTGGATGGCGGAGAGTCCTTATGCCTCCACTGCATCGACTGCTGCTTGGATTTTGGGTCCCAGTGGTCCAGCCAGGTTTCATTCACGATAACTATCAGTGAATTTAAGCTTGCTGGATCTGGGTTGAACCGGTCCGATTTCTGTCGACTCGTCATGTCGCCAAGTTGAACGACGGACCACATTCGGGGAATCCAGCGAGCACAGACCTTCCACAATCCCAGCTTTTCGTGCAGGATGGTTTGAACAGTCCTTTGAGATACCCAAGACCTGTACTATTTCCCACGGTTTCATTCGTCTCTTCTCCATTAACAGCTTTTCTACGGTAACGCATGTTTCCTCTGCGGTCAACTCAGGTCGACCCGGGCGAGGATCATCTTGATTGAATCACGTCCTCGTAGGAATTCAGTTGACCACTTCCTTACAGTCTTGTAGGAAGGTGAATGCCCTTTATAAAATTTCAGCAGGTTCATACTAATTGTCTGTGGCGACAGCCTTCCTTAGATAAAAGATTGATCACAGATCGGTGCTCAAATTTCTGAAATCCATGAAATTCAATCAGCAAAAAAATTTGCTCGTGCATCAGAATAAGTTTGCGCGGGTATGCCATAGACGGCAAATACAGGATGTCCCAGAAAGATGTATACTCACGTCAACAGTCTAGCATACAGAGACAGGTCCTTCAGCGTTAAGCCTTGTTTGATCAGAAAGCCAACTGATTTACACTGTACACTAGCGTAGGTGTTCAAAATGTCCACCATTAGCAGCCAAGCATGCATTACAACGGCGAAGAACAGTGCGACACACATCTACATGTTTCAGTTGGAATGGCGGTGCAAGCAACAACGATGTTAAGGAATTCCTGGAGGGTCGCCGGTTTTGTGGCGTACACCTTGTCCTTAGGGCTACATCATAAGGGGAATTCTGAGGGTGTTCAACCCGAAGATCGTGGTGGATATTCCAAAAGTTCACGTTGTTCTATTCACCGCCCAGGAAATTGCATGGTGCTTTCAGCCTCAAACTTGCCTCTTGCTCCAACTAACTGTGAGGCGTATTGGCGGTGTTGTTCAATATTCATGTCTCCATGCATGCTGCACCGCTGCTACTTTCCCGGATATCCAGTGCCACCTCAGTATCAACTGTAGCTGATGAAATGACAGACGCACCTGCGCCATTGTGCCATACAATGACAGCGCGTGGCGTTAGCGATTTGGTGGAGCTCTGCACGATAACACCATCAGTTGGCTTTTTGATGAAACAAGAATTGACGCCAACAAACAACATGACACTGTATGCGAGATTACTGAAGAATGTATACATCTTTCTGGGACACCCTGTACTAATACCCTGGTGGAAACACGCAGACTAGCTCAGGAAATACTAGATAAATTTATCCTCGTGTCAAGTACTGTCTGTCTAACGCTTTTGAAGGTCGGGCTCTTATCTCTCCTTATCGGATAATGTTAGGTCGTATGTAGCTGTAGAATTGCAAACGAAACGACATCGAGATTCCTAGGGCCACTTACGACGTTGATGATCGTGGAGCAGTACTTGGGTCCCACAGGTCATATAAGGGTTCACTCGAATTCAAACGCAGCTCGCAAGAGTCGAGGCCCAAGCACTTTGTGGTGACGATTGATTTAAGTGGCAGAATACCTATCCACGCACAGCGGCGCAGCGTCGGGGGGGGGGGGGGGGGGGGGAAAAGGGGGGGGGGGGGGGGGGGGGGGGGGGGGGGAAACACGTGCCCTCCAACTTTTCAAGAAAAATAGCCAAAAAAGGAAAAGACTCATGACATGCATAACAGTATCCCCTGGATCCCGTGCTCCCCCCCCCCCCTTTTCCCATCCACGCTACACTTACATCACGCATATTGCAACAGCTGAAGAATGAAAAGCTCCCCCCCCCCTCCCTTTAGCAACGGCAAGGAATGCAGAAATTTGCTTCCGAAAATGCCCCTGCTGGTTCCCACGCACCCGAGTGTTAGCTAATTACCATGGAAAGCATTGCAATACTTAAACAGTGTCCTCACGGCCACCGGTCGAAAAGGAGGGGACCGCACGCTTTCTAACCCGAATTATAATATAGGTTTTTCGGACTGTATTCGGAGAAAGTCCAGTCAAATTCCGCCAGTCTTATCAATTTCGGCTACAGTCCTTTTGATTTCGGCAGCTCAACCCATCGAGTGCGTCGCAACCGACAGTTCCTACCAGGAAAGTGAAGGCTCCTCGGCAGTAAAAGGAACATGCCTCATCTGAAAGAACTCGCTGCCTACGGCACTCAATTTCGAATACGCAGCCTTGAACGAAGCGGTCTTCACACGATGGTGAACGCCGCAAGACAACGTCGAGGTCGCGATCCAAAATCTCACCATATCTCTTGAAATGGGATTGTTGCATTATCGGATTAAGTAGGCACTTGTCTCATCGACGTTCCGAGAACTGGACGTACGCATGCGTTAGTGCTGACGAACCACGACTTTGTCATTATTGATGACTCGCTGTTCTCAGAATCACATGAGGAAATTTGATTATTTCTAACTGCTTAGGACACTATACTCAGTCCCCGGAAACAAAATGCTCCGGCGCTGCCGAAACTGAAAAGAATCCTTGTCGAATTTGAAAGGGAGGAGAGAATGACGAGTAGAGCACTACCAAAATTGAAACGATCTTGGCCGCATATGAAACAGCTAATGAGTATCATCGGGAAAACCTATATATTCAATAAACAATTAAAATACTTATACCTAAATTAATTATGTCTCATGACTACAGCTATGATCAAAATTAACTGAGCCTCACGTGACAAATATTCACTTAGTAATCTGTCCACCTTTCACGAGGCCTACCGACTGGACTTTTGTTGGCCATTTTAGGTAGGATGACTCTTTGGGAGTCTCTCGGGAGGCAATAGCAATTATTTCGCCCATAACACTATCCATAACATCCTTCTACAAGGCCCACTCAAACAAAAGAAGTAAAAAAGTAAAATATCGTACTTTTAATATAAAGAATTTGAGCATTATCTTGCATAAATAAGAATTTGTTTATATTCTATGAGGAAAATTGATATTGTTTAGATTGAGAGCTGGGAAATTCTTTCTACATACTATTAGTATTAAGAGCGGCTTGCATGGGTACCAAACTGGGATAAAACAATCTGGGTATCAACACCGTATAACTCCAAATGAAATATTAAAGCTAGAATGATTCAAATATATATAGGAAAGGAAGTGATTCCGAATGGAATAAATGAGCTGGAATGGGTAAACAATTATGTGGGTTTCAGTCACATTAACACCTTTGTTAATCTTTCCTTCCCTTTGACTGATGTCTAGTATATGTAATAAAAATAATACTCCGATGCTTCTGTGGTGAGTCTTGGAACTACTTTAAATTTTTTTAAAAACCTTCAAGTGAAGGAATTTTATGAAAAATGAGCAAAATTTAAGAATCTCAGGTTCTGCTCTCTTCAGAGTCAATGACTAAATGAGAATAAGTTAAAGAAGAAACTGAAATGAGCACAGAAGCACTGTGAACAGCAGCAGAGCTGCAGCAGTTGCCTCCAGGGCCTGGTGCATGTGTTCACCCCATGCCCTCATTCTACTGACCTGGAATCAAAGAGCAAGTAGTGTGGAGCACTAAGCTTCATGGTCCCAGGTCTGATAACATTCATCTCATGTACTTTTTTGGCTGCTGAAGGCTAGACTTGCTGGGCTGAGAAAAGTATGCAACATGGCCCAACCCAGGGCACAGTTCCAAAATTGTTCCTAATTCCAGTATCACTTGGTAACATCATTAAATCTTTGGAAAGGCCTGTCTAAAACGTTCTAGTCAAAATCACAAAATAAAGCAGACTTTGGCACAGTAAATATGAGTTCTTTATATAAATCTGGCTAGTTATATGGAACAGCAATGGTGAAGAGCAAGAATATAAAACATTGTAAAATAACTTTCATCAGGTTGAGGATCAGAAATATAAGCCATCATACATTAGGAACCATACAAATGGAATGCATCGGTATCAGTCTTTCTTGGTTGTATACTCATAAATAGATCAATATATAAGGGTCAAATGAATAAAAAACAAAGGCACTGAACTGTACATATAAGACGTATCACAAGATGGCACAGGTGCGCACGTCAGGCTTGGGACGGGACTTGGGGGCCTTGAGCACGGCTCTGATGGCCTCTTCGAAGACAGCATTCACACTATCCCCTGGAATCTTGGCAGAGCATTCCACATACTTTATTGCTCCAATTCGGGTCTTCAGCTTCTTTCCATCTTTCCAACTCAGCATAGTACTATGTTCTTCATTGCTTGGCCTGAGATCCAATTTTGTTCCTGATGGTATGCATCATGTCACATTTTCATGCATTGACCTTCCTCCTTCAAATTTCAGAAACAAGAGAGTTTAACTCACCAACAAGAACTATTGGGGTTCTGGGGCAGTGATGTCGGAGCTCAGGTTGCCATTTGAGCATAACATTGTCATAGGAAGGACGGCTGTTCACAGCATAGCAGAGGAGGAAGACATCAGTCTACAAAAGTCAATGGAAAATAATTTTTTCCCAGGGGAACTTCAAGGTCTATCTTGCATATGCATAAGGTGACCATGAATCAAGTGAAACTCTTTTTCTGAAATTGCAAAAAAATCATTCTGATGGATTTTTTGGTAGGTTTTGAAACTCATGTTATTTTAACCCTTACAGACCTGGCATCCACTCCAATGGACATTGCATTCACATTGTGTCTATGGCAATTTCTTAGGATTCTCATGACTTTGCACTCCATATTATGCTAAAAGGAGTGCAATTATGCATGGGCCAGTTCCATCAGAGGCCTTCTTTCACCCATTAGTTTTGCAATCTTCAGTTATTTAATTAAATGTATAATATATAATATGGTATGATAAGGTAGATTTATATAAAATAAAAACTGCACATTAGTATGAAAATTTCAATTACAATCATGAAAGAGCTCAAAAATGCAAAAAAGAATATTATACCAATAGCAGCCTTAATTCAGGTCTTAAAGGGTTAAGTTATCTTTGAATCCCAACAAACAGCAATTTTTTAAATTGTATATCGCTAGCCAAAAAATTATGATATAGAGGGGAATGACAGTGTTACGCATAATAGGTAGAGAAGCATGGGGATTCACATGGTATACCTGATGCCAACAGTATCAGACAGTGACATGCATGACCACTTTGTTGCCTTTTCAGAAAGGCAGGTAGACTATACCACTGACAAACACCCATCCTGTCTTGTCATGAAAGACAAACTAATGATCCCAAAAAGACACCAGCAAGGAAAACCTGTGCTTGCTTTTATATTTTCTTATACATCCTTTCTTGATTATTGCAACTTTCACAAGGCAGATCTAGATTTGTAGTCGATAGTACAATTTTTGTAAAATTTATAAATGAAAGGGACATTGTAGCTATCTCATTACAGCTTGCTTCAATTTTCACCACATAAGGGAGGTTTTTTTGTATTATCAATATCAGAAATGACAGATGAAATGCATCCAGCAAAGTTTCTGATATCCTTTTTTGACAAATGTATAAGATTTGGGAGGAAGACATGAAATGAGGGGTGATCCAAAAGTTTCTGCCTTGAGGTAGTAGGAATAATCAGATAAATCTGAAATTTGGTTCCCATATTCATTCATCCTTTCTGGTAATTTTTGGTAATGATCAGTGATTGGTTTTAGGTGTATTTACATTTTAACTAATAATTTGTATATAAAAAATGTTCCAGCCAAAAACTTATCTATTTCAAAATGGAAGAATTTGAATAAAGAGCAGTTTTTTAATTTGTAGTAATTGAAGTACTCATCTGATATACACTTCTTCATCCCAATATGACAGCTCATTGAATGATATCAATTCAGTGAAGCTGTTCAAGCATTTTTATTTGAAAATGGAAAAGGAATTGTTTCAAATAAAATTGAAGCCCTATTCTATCAATGGGAATATTAATGTCCATTGAGGTAAAACTGAAAAATAAAATTTGTTTCAACAGTCTATGACATTCTCTTATGTCTCAGGGCAGAAACTTTTGGATTACCCCATATATTATATTAGTTTCATACTTGATCTGGTCATGTCTCCTATCAGGCATGAAATATATGCCCATTGCATACAAGATAGACATACCAAAAATCATATAAATGTCTTATCTGCAGCTCTTATCTTTCCATACATGCCTTTTAACAAACCCATATAAGGCCCTGCTGTACATGATAATATTGGGTAAATTGGGGGAATATTACTCAGCACAATATTCCCCTAACAGGCTGCAGAATTGGCTTTGGTCAATTTTGAAAATAGGACTACGTAAGCATATATACAGGGTGTTTCAAAAGTCTCACAACCCACATATAAACAAGAGCTGTTATATATTCAACTGGAAAACATACACATCGGCTAATGCATTAGGTATTGTGGGTCCCATACTTTTCATATAAACTGTAAATGCTGAATGTTATCAACACATCATTCAAAAATATGTTCCTCAATTCTCAATTCGAGTTCTTAAAAAAAAGCTGTATATAGGGTTGTGAGACTTTCAAAACACTCTGTATAATATATCTAAAGGTTATGCCTGTTTCCCAATGCAGTGCAAACAGGAAGATGCAATACATAGATGTTTGGAGTGTAAGCTGTATGCAATTGCTCAGCTAATGACACTGGAACTAATCTGAACCCTGAACCACTTCAATTATTATTTCCTAATAGCAGCAAGGAAGCAGTAACCAAAAAAGTTATTCTCCAGTTCCTCCAGAATGCTTCTGCTAAATGGCAGCCCTTTCAGTTGTGGTTTGCAGTCAGTGTTGTCAATTTTTTGCCAAATTTTCTCTTTTCTTTGGGGATGAAAAAGATATAGGTTTTTCAAGCTTATACATGTTCTCAACAAGGAAAGGTCTTTCCTTCACGCAGGTATCTAAACTTCCTTAAAGTTCAGTAAATTGCACAAGGAAATACATAAAACTGAATATGGATGAGTCAACCATTTTTGGCAAGGTTCCGTGGCCTGCTAGACTATTGTTGAAAGGGTGACTTGAGGTGTAATGATCCTCATCAGCCTAGCTCAATCAAAACTCTCTGGAACATAGACTCATTTTAGGGTCCCTAAATGGATTCAAGTATGATGGATATTTCCTCCAAAATTTTCCAGTTGAGGGAAGCCACTTGAAGATAACAGAAACAGTGATGGCTCAAAAAGGCCTACATGCAAGTATTACACTTATCTATTTCCAAACACATAAAATATTCCTGCATCCAGCACATAATTCATTTTACTAACTTCCTTAAGCAGGAACAATTATGCAAAATTTACAATTATTGAACCTAACAAGCAAATCTGAAGGTATTATCTTCTTCATACAAAAAAGGAGCTTACATTTGGATACGAAAGTGGACGTAATCTCTCATACTCTTCTTGGCCTGCAGTATCCCATAGTGTAAGATGATACTTCACTCCATCCACCACTATTTCTCCAGCATAATTGTCAAAACTGAAAAATGAAAATTAAAAATAAGTCTCACACAATAGTATTTCATTTCTAATTAGCTACATAGGGAGCATTAATAAATCTGTTTGCAAAATTTAATCATACATATATCAGCATACATTGACCTTATTGTATTATCTTCAAGTCAGTAGCACATTTTCCACTCTGCTGTGAAAAACAAAACAATTGACCACTAAAATAAAGTGGATCACCAGTCTTCCCAACTTAATGGGCCTCAAATACTGCATCACTCCCCATTCCTGAAATTGTACAAAGAGGGAGAGGAGGGCAGGTGGTGGCATATGTTTTACCTAGGGATACCTGGAAATTTGAACCTGCCCTGAGGGTTTCCTCGTCCTTAAAGTGCATATTATGCTAATTTGCAAAAAAATTTCCAATGCTGAAACATTCCTTCCTTAAATTCATTTTTTTCTCGCATTATAATCTCAAATTACTTGCAAATCTGTCCAGCCACTAAGGAGATATTCCAACTTCATTTAGTGCAGACACCTAATGAACACCCTGTATTTAAAAATATTCTTGTATGAAGTATTAGCCCAATAAATCTCATGAACATTGGTATTATAATTCCCTAATAACTGACAAAACTACCTCTCTTTGAGACACTTAAGCTTTTGCTTTAAAGTTTCAACTTGTACAGTGCAAACCAATAAAGCCTGGATGGGGGTAGAATATCACCAAAGGTGCAGAGCTTTTTCATCTTTCAGCCTCAAGTTGAAGCTGATTTTAAAGCAATGAAAGTGCAAATATAAAAGGATACCAAATTACCAGGAGGGTTTAAGAACCTTTAGAACACCTAGACTCAGATTTGTCATAAGTACTCTAACAGCATTCGGATATAAAGTTGGACTCCTACACAAAGAAATACAATATCAATAGCATTCTGGCACTAGGATAACTGAACAGTGACTTACACTGTTGGCACATATTCTGTAGGGAAGGAATGTGTGGTATATGCAATAAGCAAGCAAGTCTTGCCCACTGTGCCATCACCAACCACTGTGATTTTGACAGGAGGTCGAGACCCAGCTCGACCTCCAGCTTGGTCATCTATAATCTGCGGCATTCCATCACCAAAAATCCTCCATTAATTTTATCCTGCACTCTCATGCATAGGCTATTAGTAAGCCTATTCCCTTCAGAACCTGAAAGAAGAGGAAAGCAAGATATTAGCCATAAAAGTAGAGAATGGCTAGGCCTATATCAAAGGCAGTCCTGGACAAGTTGAGCAGTATATGGCGATTCAAATTTAACTTTGTTGACAATATGATCAAATGGAAGAAGATATAACATTTCTAGCTGATGTAGTTAAACTCCATATGTGAAGATTAAAAGAATTAAGTGACTTTAGAATTGAGCAAAGGGTAATGACACTATCTTATTTTGAGTTCTACAGCTACTCATTACTTCCCTATATAACAACCCACAAAAGACACCCCTCTATTCATGAAGTGGGACAGAAGGGAAAGAGTTGTCAATATCCCATGCCACAGGATGTCAAGGCTCAAATAGGCATTGCTTTTCTCACACAAATCAACTTAGAGAGACTTCAAAGCTTTAATGAAATTTTAGTACTTTGTGAGATGCAAAAAATAGACAAATTCTTGCATTTCTACAGTAGGTTTCATAAAGTCTCAAAACAGAATGGTATTTTGCACCACCTAGTATTTCATTCCTTTCCCTTAACCTTCTGGCATGATTGTGCTCATACTCAACAATAGAAAGTTATTCCTTCATTTACCCCATATTTACTGCATCATTGCTAACATTGGCAAAGCAAAACCTATGTTTAACACACGCAGAGCAAAATCTCCAGATTTAGGAAAAAATTGCATGCATCATGGTTTCTCATCAACATGGATGAGCCAAGTCAAAATTTTGTCTCTCACAAGTCAGGATGGTAAATACTCATGAGTGATGATTTTGAATGGCATTGAATAATATCTCAAAGTTGCTGATTTTGGACAGTAAAAATGTCTCATTTCATTTATAGCTCATGTCAAACCCTCATGATGTTAAAATAATCATTGGTAGTATCTTGGAGGCATATAAGGAAGAAAAAGTTCTGGTTTAGAATCAGCTATGTGATCAAACCCATGGATTAACAGGAAATACCCATGGACAAACGATGGAGGCATTCTAGTATCGCTGGATCCAGGATGGGTGCTTAAACTGGTATTTCTCCAGACATTTTATGCCCAAAACCAATATATGTGCACTCTTAAAACCAGGCCTTTAATGTCTCCTCACCCATTACGAGAGGGCTTAATAAAAGTATGCAATTTGAATACTTTTAATAAATACAAGTGCTTCCTATGTGACCAGACTTTTGACTCATTCTGTATATTATACACTTGAAACAAAGGATGAGCTTTCACACATTCACTCTCACAAACTAAGCAAGAAGACATTCACAAATTCAAGTTAAGAGAGCAACACATAAAACTTATGAAGGAGGGCAAAAAAGTGAGACAATACAACAGTTTTAAACAAAATTGGTCCAAATGCCTATTTGAACAAAAGCTTATGAATTGGCCTCAGATTCAGACCAGCACTGCTCTGTAAAACAGCTAAAAACTGGGATGGGTAGATGTTCCTACCCCTTTCAAATATGAATTTTTTTCCATAGTGCCCAGTGACTAACAAATACATTGCTCCCTTTTTTGTTTCACCACAAAGGCATGTGAAAATCGCCATAGAAGAGACAGCCACATCATCCCTTAATCCCTAGATCATCCTTCCAATGCTTTCTATTTCGCCAATTTGTTCTAGATGCTTAACGTTTGGATTTCTTTCACACTTCAAACCTCTACAAAAATTCCATATGCTGTTTGTCAGAAGAGTTTAAAAGCAGTGATAATACTTTTTTTTTAAATAAGAGATAAATTTCATATTAGGTGATACCATAAGCAAAGGTTAAGCCAATAGGGGAGTAGGTTTCTACATCAAATAGGTCAAAATACACCATAAATTACACTCACATTCACCAAAATTGGTTTAATTCTCCCCAATGCTCAAACATTTACATACATGAGCTGTGATGTCCCATGTCCTTCCCAAGATCTCGGGCATTGATTTATATGTCAACCATCATGAATTTTCCCAGCGGTCACTTATGTGACTGAAAATGTGCTCTAATACTGAAAATATGGCTTATTTTTCAACAAAATACTGAATATCTGCGGCTCGGATTCCTTCTTTTAAACGTTAACGATGCAACTGGAAGAGAACACAGGTTTAGACCTAATGGTTAAATAAGGCATTACGATAAAATAGGTGTCGAACGAGCATGGAATAAGTTGCAAGTATAGTCTACTCAACTCCATTCCAGATTTAGAACTACGTCCTACCGTTCGGCCCAACTTAGGCCTGCTACACCAAAGCCCGTGATACCCTTTTAAGTCTGGGTCTTTTGAGAATATCCCGATGCTACACCAGCACTCTTGGGTGAAAATTGTTCAGTACCACAGACTCATGTGTTGCGAACTTAGTCCATGCCGATTCCATCGCCGACCCAAGCATGCCATACCAGTCACACCACGTCGATGAGTCCTACCACGAACTGGACCATGACGAATGAAACGCCAGTGTTGCCACATGATTCACGAGTATCACTCAGCTTGTATGTCCTATTGTCATCTACCTGACGTAACAGCACTTTCCTTTGAAATTCAATCCTCGAAACCTAATGGGATGGAAATCATACCAGAAGCTAAAAACCATTAGGTAGAGGTTGGAACAGGAATCGTGGGGGGTGATCCCAGAGAAGCATTGAGCTACGACTTCCCGCTGAGCGGATGTCTTACAAAAAAAAAAAAAGATAGACAGGAAGCTTGCTGAGCCATATCCTGCCTCAGCTCAAAGGCCATTTCCATTCCTGCCACACTTTTCCTGCATGTCATCTCGCGGATGTCGCGGAGGACGTAGAGCTTAATTCAAATTCGGTCCCTCTTTAATGGGTTCGAAGTAGGGTTGCCACCTTTGAATTTAACAAAATAGGGACATATGAAGGGCTGAAAGGCAAAGTGGTCTATCCTGAAAAAATTATTTCCTGAAGCTCCACACGGAATAAGTGAATATTCCAGTGACCATCATGTTAAAAGTGAGAGAAAAAAGGTATGTATCGAGAGATCACTTCATCCATTACTTAATTCCAAAAAACTATAATTTTCTATTAAAAGAACATGGTCCTATGAGCAAAAAACCCACAGCACCTTTTTCGGAAATTTTTTGCAGATAGACCATTTTTCCTTGCAGCTCTTCATATATTCAAAATATACCCACAGCCACCCTAAACAAAGGCACAAATCGATACTCTGAGTGTGACCTACTGGACCTACTGCTATAGACTAATGGAAAGTAACGATATTAGATGTTATTAAGCTTTATTGTGTAAAAAATTATAGTTTGCAGTATGGACATTGTGTCTGATATATGTACCGTCCATACTAATTATGAACGGGGTGGCAACCCTATTCGAAGACCTTCAAACCCGAGCGCACTGTCGATCTCTGAAGAAGCTCAACTATGGCGCAAGTTGATTAAGGCTCATAGAACGAAATTCCTCTTCCAGCAAATTTGTCAGTGGTCTATTCTTCCAAAAGCTGTCTAATATGCCACCGATCTCATCGATAAAGAAGTGCATGAAGCGCTAATCGCTACAAGGACTTCATCGACTCACTAAATGCGGAGGTGGAAAAAAAAAATCCATTCGACCGGTCCCAGTTTAAATTCCCTGCTGGAAACAGCTATAATTTCCAGCCGAACCACCCCAGCTGTGGATTTGGACCCATTCCAACTGGGTAACAGCTGGAAAGTCAAACTCAGATCCAAATTGGTTCCAAGATGCAATGTCATTGAGGGGATAAGAATGTTTTTCTTGGTCATTCTTGCAGGAGGTCCATCTATAGAAGCAGCTGAATTTCAGCTGTGAAGTCCTCTGTATAAAGTCTAACTGGAAATTTCCATCTGGAAACATCTATTAACCCTTTGCGGTCCAACCTCATCCCCAGGATGAAAAAACTTACACGCGATCTCTCATGTCCTCTATCATCTGTAGGATGCGACGCTATGTTTATTTGACATCGTTACTCACGTCCTTTATTGAAACAGCGCAGTTATTGTTTACATAAGGCCAGTTTATCCGGGCAGCGCCGTCGAGAGCGTTGAGTTTGGCCTGCGAAACTTAAAAATAATAGGACTGAAAAGGGTTAAAACAAGCTGCATTCCAGTTGGAAAATTCCAGCTGTAAAATAATCTGTATCTACTATTTTCCAGCTCTTCGCCAGCTGGAAATGGTCCAAATTGATAGCTTTGGACCAGCTGGAAAATTCCAGCTAGACTTTATACAGAGGACTTCAAACTGGGGCGAGATCGAAGAAGGATTTTTTTTTAAACATTCATTCCTGTGAACATTTGGATGGAAAAATATGTCATCCCATCTTCGTCCTTGAGTCCAAGGCGAAAAGTTCCCTTTCAGCTCAAAGGCATGCTTCGCTTGCTCAGCATAACGATTCGTCTTAAGTACAATGAGTTCCACAGCATCTCGAGTGCGGAACAATTGGGAACACTGAAATGGATCAGAGTCGTCAGTTGCAAAGATTATCACTCCGGGATAATCAGAGAAGACGGGGTCAGGTGGTTTTAGGCTTTCAATGTCAGAGGTGAAGTTGAACTCCAACTAAACAGAAGCTCTTTCTTCACGGACGCCTGGACCATCATTCTCCTCTGCTTCATCGTTACTTACTGAACTTTCTGAGTCTTCTGGATGGCAATTCAATTCAATTCAATTCAATTCCTCCATCAGTAATTATACCAAGATCGTTCTGGTTGAATTCGTATCATAATCATCTCTTGTATCTGCCCAAATGCTGTCAGTTTGCTCCAAGATAAGTACCTCGCTCCTGTCTATGTACGCTACGCTTCAACACGTACTTGAACACAATAACCTCACGGCAGAGAATCAGCTTTCAAAATGAGCTGGCACGTGTCAGTACATGCGTTTTTTTTAAATGAGGTCTAGACCCTGCACCCTTGCTGTTAAGACGCTATACTTGGATCCTAGTG